TTTTTTTATAGATAAAGATAAAATCAATGTTAAACAATATGAAATTACTATAAATTTATCTATCCAAACCTCTAATAAAATTTAATATTGATGAATAATCACTCTCATGAAAGATTTTTTATTTTTTGTTTTAATTTTTAAAGTTGCACACTTATTAATTTAATTTTAATGTTGTATCCATGATACTTAGTTTAATAATTTTTACTTTATATTAAATATTATTTTATATTGAAATTTATTTTAAATTATAATTTTTTTTTAAATCAGGTGGGTTGGTGGGCGGCCCGTTTAGTCCACCAACCCGTGGTGGGCCGGGCCAAACGGGCCGGGCTTTCCCGTTTTGACAGCTCTACTTATTTGCATATATCTACTATTATATAAAGAGAATATATCTTTTTACAACTATTTTTAGTCTTCATTTATGTTTAAGGCTATTTTACCCTTTTTAAATATAGATTACCTCAGTATTCTTAAGGACATGTTTATATAGAAAACATTTTCAAAAAAATTCTTAACCTTCTATTACTTTCAAATTTTCTTTTTATGTTTATTTTAGATGAAATTTCATTATTTTTCTAAGTAAATTATTAATAGATAAAAATAGCTTTATATCACAATATAATTTGTTTATCATACATTTATAATATAATTTACACATTTAAAAATATTTTTTTACAAATTATAATTATAATATATATATTTTTAAAAGTAATTTTTTATTATAAATTTTAGTTATATTAAATAAGTATTCATTTATATATTCTAAGGCATTTTTATTATAAATTTTATTTATATACTCAAAGTTACTTTTAAAAAAATTTATTTATATAAAATAACTTTTTTATTTTTGTTGATTTTGCAAAATAAAAGATTAATATAATGTAATTTGTGAAGGGTACGGATTTTTTTATTATAAATAAATTAATTAAAGAGATTCAAATATGATGCAAAAGTGTTGGAATTTGTTTATGTGCAACTTTTAAAAGACATTCAATTATAAGTTTTAGAAAACGTTGTCCTGGATTTTTCTTATTGCCTCAGAGATCTGTTGCAAGGTGTTTCACCTTTCGTAATTTCAAGCTCCCCTCTAACTTTGTTTTTAATTCATTGAACATATACAGGAGGAGGATTGATTTTTGGTCATATAAAGTTCGAGTTGATAGTGACCTTTGATAAAAGGCCATTTAAAAAGATAGTGTTAAATTCAGGTGACACTTATTTTTTGGAAGCATCATGGCCCCTAATCCAAGAGTTAGTAAGGCCTTTAACTTTATGAAGGCCTTAGGAATTTCTAGTGTGAAGGTAAAGCCAGTGTTGATAAAGCTGTTAAAAGTTTATGAAGGAAACTGGGAACTTATTGAAGATGACAATTATCGGACACTTGTAGATGCATACTTCGATGTTGAGAAAGAAAAGGTTCTTTTCTATTATATATATACTTTAGCATATTTTATAGACTGTCTTTGTAAATATTCTATTCATGTTTACCAATGTCTTATTTATACATAAACTTATATATATAAATATTTCAAAATTTTGTTATATTCTTCTTTCCTATAAATATTTCTGCATAAGCTTATTTAAACATGCGTGTTTAATGCCTGTGTACCTATTGGCCTATTGGTATCTGCAACAGGCTAGGAAGTTTGTTTCATACTATTTTTGGTTGTATCATTTGAATCTTCATCAGGCATTTTTCCCTTTTGAATATTTTAAAAGTTAATCCCATGTTATACGCTTCTTCAAATAGGTAGCTGAAAGTGAGAAAAAAGGTAATGACAGTTGTTATGGTGGAGAGAAACCAATTCAGGAACCTATCCTGATAGATGATGATGACAAGGATTTATCAAGTCAAATGTTACGTGAAGAAGATAATAAAATATCACCAAAGTCTTTTGAGCAGAATAGCATTGAGCCATCTCAAACGTTCATGGAAGATATTATGGCCAAAACCAGTTCACAAGCATCACATACAAGTACGTCGAGTGAGGTAGAAAAGATTTCAACTTTACCTCACGTGGCAGCTAAAGATAGAAAATCATATCCTCACGAGAAAGCATCGTCTGCTGGGCATTCTGGTCATTTCGAGAAAGAGATTGTGAAGCCAAGAAATAAGAAACCCAAGTTACAACTTACTTCGACGAATCGTAAAGGTAATCATGCCTACTTCTCCCACTAATAACTTTAATCTTCTTTTTTTGAAACTAGAAGCGTGACTCTCAAAAAGTAATTCTCGGTAAAATTATTTTATTTAATAACTCATGATTAATAAAGAAATTTTCACAATTCAACATTGATAAATCTTTTTTTATGTTTAAAAATTAAGTTGATAAATTTTTTAAAAATTTAAAAATTATATGATATATTTTGACATATAGATTTAAATCGATGTATAAAATGTTTTTATGATTATCTGTTAATTTAAATTAATGAAATAAATGATCACATAGTTTTTAAAATTTTAAAAAATTGATTGACTTGATTTATACATTAAGAATTTTTAATTTATTGGTTGAATTGCTAAATTATACATCATAAGTTATTAAATAGAGTAACATTTTCAATAATTACTTTCAAAGTAATTTGATTATAAGGAGGGATTAAATGATTCTAAAAATAACTCTTGGTAAAACTATCCCTCTCTATAACTTATTGCGTATGTTAAGTTTTAATGATCAAATTATCAAATTAAAAATTTTTAATGTATAGATTATATCTACACATTTTTTAAAAATTGTATGATACTTTGTTATATAAATTCAAATCAACTTAGAAATTATTATTTAGATAATTTGTCAATTTGAAATGACGAAATGAAGTATCAAATAATTTTTAAAATTTTAAAAAATCTATAAACTTGATCTATGTATCAAGAATTTTTAATTTAATGATTAAATCGTTAAAAATTAACACACACAACGAGTTATTGAATGAAATAAATTTATCAAAAATTATGCTTGGAGTCATTTGATCTCTTCTCTCTATCTCTTCTCTATCTATATATAGATGAATTCTAGTGTGCACCATCTTTATGTGTGATCTATATTGTACCTCTTTTAACTATTTTTAGATTTATCTCATCTGCATGGTATTACCGTATCTTTTTTACCAAATTATTTTTCCTTTTTTTTTCCTTTCCCTCCTCCCTCTCATGTTCTTCGTCCTTACCAACACAAAATTGATGCTTACATGGACCACCGAGTTATTAAGACCATCTTTGAAAAAACATCTACTTGTATTTTTTATCATCATATAATGCATTGTAGAATGATCAATTTTTTAGCATTCGTAATAACATTTGTGGTGGAACAAAGTGTATCTTAGTAAGTTGTTAATTTAAGAAACATTTGCAGTGAGTACATAGATATGTGCGTGCATTAGGCTGAATTTTGTTACACAGTACATTCCAATGTGGTTGGTGGTTTGGAAACTAGACGTTGCCGTTGAAAGGGGAGACCGAAGAGCCCGAACATTTATTCTCAAATATGGTACATTGGTTTGGATTTGTTCCAATATTATTTGATGAGTAGGAGTATTAAAAAATCCAAATTGATCCATAATCAAACCGATTTGTTTTGAGAAAATTTAAATCAATTTGCTGTGCAAAATCAGTTTAATTATCATATTTAATTTCACAAAGTGAATTAGTTTGATTTGATTTTTAAAAATTAATATATATATATATAT